GTCCTAGATCCACCGATGGTCATGAAGGAATTGTCAGGGACAGCAAAATCTCGAAGGCAGCGACACTAACGCCCCCACTTCAAAGTGGCCTTTACAAGGCAATTTTCGCTTCTTCCAGCAAAAATCAAGAAAAACAGAATACCAAGACCGCCTAGCTGGCTACCAGTGTGGTTATCCCGTTTTAGTGAATTTATTGGGATCGCCACACAGCTCGCGCAGCTATGCCAGCCCTTCGATCCTAACAAACTCAATTTAAACAAGTAAGCAAAAAACACCTCATTCTAATGGACGATAATTTCACACATTGATCCAATTTATAACTGTCAGGATTTGATAGGAAAGAATCAAATAAAATCATTGCACTCGAAATTCTCGATGGTTCCATGCCAGCGATTTCGGAAAGTGAACCCTAAAAATAATTCCAGTTGGTCAAAAGGATTAGCAAGTTGCCAGCTGTATAAATGAAGTTTTAAAATTTTCTCAAAATTCTAAAATTTTCCCAAAATTTTTAATTAAAAGTCTAGAACTTAAAATTTTTAAACTTAACTTTAAAAATTTAAGACTTAAGTTCAAAACGAAATTCAAATTTAAAAAAATTAAAAATTCAAAAAAGGGATAAAATCAGAAAAATGAAAGTTGGAGTTTTAAAAATTTTAAAATTTAAAGCTTAGATTTGAAATTTTAACCAATCCAAACAAGCAACTAAATAAGTAGGAATATGTAACAAATTAAAATTTCAGGTATCAGAAAATGAGGAAGAAAGTCACTTCAGCTTGCCTTCAAAGATATACAGATTGTATGTATGGAAGCGATCATTGATTAAAACGATTTAAACATAAAACACATAAAAATTATGCAATAGAAAGAGTACTGGAAAAATATACAATTTGCGGCAGAAAAAAAAACGCAACCAACCTGACTGGCCTGATGAGCTGCTGATTTACGATACAGCTCGATGAGGCCTGTCTGGGTGAGGATCGAGGTAGCTTGCTCACTAACAAGCACATCAATATTTGCATCCATCTTAAAATTACAATAATTTTTAGGAAATTTTTTAATGTTTTCGTAGTTAAAGTCGAGAAAAATTAAAATCGAGAAAAATCAAGAAAGCAGAGAAATTAACGATAAAAATTAATCATGATTCCATTAATGATAACACTCTTTTCAGAGGTATTAACGACAAAAATCGTAGTTTAAGCCGAGAAAAATTAAAATCGAGAAAAATCAAAAAAGTATAGACCACAACATTAAAAAAATAATCATCATTCCATTAATGATAACACTCTTTTCAGCAAAAACTACTGCGAACAAAACCATCGATGGCTTTCTTTTCGGGAATATTTATGAATTCTAACAAATTCACCTAGTACAGTTGTTGTATATTGTTAAAATATTAACTTTATGCAAACTGCAATTATTCTAGGGATTTCTTTACTAAAAATAACGAAATTCATAATATGATCCCTCAAAATCGTGATCTTTATACCGTCCAAAGTGTAATTTTCGAATAGAAATATCTAAGGTAAGGATTTTTTTTTCTTCTTTTTATCTTGCACACGGGTACTGAAAGATTGTAGAATTCCGGTTCCAGTACTTTTCTTGACCTCTATTACAAATCACCATACCTTTTTTCCTTAAGAATTTAACTCATGCCGAAATCTTGTTACAAGAGGACTAGCTACACTTGATTTAGACTTAAGAATTTAACATATGAGAGAAAATTGCCACCGAAATCAACTTTGCTCACAAATTTCTCGATCTCAAACCACCCCTATTCTGCTTATAATAACGTATGTCAGTGCCAAACATAAGTATCATGAGAATTAGAGATTCCTTTAAGAATTAGTTTCCTCACCTACAAAAGCATGAGTAGACTTCCCGGGTAAGGACAGTAGCAGGGAGGGGTGGCCAGGCTGTTCTGACAACTCAAAACCCAATCAACGATTTTAATACCTGAGCTTTGATCATTTCCAAGCGAGCGTCTGTGAACTGATAAAGTATGATAACAGCGTTTACTGCAGAAAGACAGTTCAATGTATAAACAGCAACATCAAGCGGTGAATGCAGTTGTGTTGCTGATATTTGAATGGCCTGATTTAGCGGATCCAGCACTGCCGCAAAAATCTGAATATTCAGAATCCCAAGAAATTTTAGGGTCACTGATGAACGATCTCTTCAAATATCATATGTGTCGATGGTGAATCAGCTTGTATTTCATCCCTTAGCTGTAAACACAAACAAAGCACGGAGTGCGGGTAGTCGTGGGACACATTTGTGAAGATGCAGCACAAAATCCACAGCGGTATTTCCAAGACCACTCAAACTACAGATGTACAATTTCCAGAGTTATAAAGGCGCTTCCCTATCGAACGTTAAATTGCAACCTACAGTTCTGGATTTTTGTCCTCGATTTCATTTACTGCCCTTGCATAAAACTTTCTGCTGACATTTCGGAATAGTCAGTTTCTTTCTCGGAAACATCTCATAACGTGCGCTGTCCACTAGCATTACCTTATATAAATGCACTGTTGGAGGTTCAGAAAACAAAATCCCTCACTAATCCACTTTCTCCTTGATACGAACGCAGTGATAACATCCTGCTAAGTATAATGCACAATGTTATTTTTTTTTCTAAAATTAGCATGAAAGGACGACCTGCATGCCACTAACTTCCACGTAAGCATTCGACAAAAGTTCACACTGGAACGAACCATAATCGGGTTAAACTGTTAGCTTTTTCATGCTAACGTCGCGGAAAATCCGCGAAAAGCTGACCAAGAAGTCTCCACAAAGGGAAAGAAAAGAGAGGTGTATTTTGCCTTGAAAGGCAGATACGCAGTGGATGTGCTGCCAGGCTGAATTTAGAACACAAGGGCCGGTGGTGTAGTGGCAACGTGATGCGTCCGGACGTGAAGAGGAGTAGTTCGATTCCCTGCAGGTCCAGGGCAATTTTTGAGAAAGGTCTCCGTTCACGATGCTTAATGGCATCGACTTAATCATATGGATTACTTTTCACCACACGCCATGCAGGTCATACCACAACATGCTTAACCTTTTTTATGCGTTTTTGCCGTGCAGCGCTAGAGCGCTGCAACAGGCAGCAAAAACGCATATTGC